TTATTGAATTGAATGGTTCTAAATTAAATTATAAGTGAAGGGTTAAGAATTTAATTAATGACTTTCCAATTCTTATGTATTTGATTATCGATTTTCAATTAAATGTTATTGACTTTATTAAAGTTGTTTATGCATAGTTTATTTGATAATAGGTTGTACTTCTTAAATTAATTGATTCGCAAATTTTTCTATCGAAGGAAATGATATTTAAGTTAATTTTGGATTATCAATACCACTTTTGTGAGGAATAAATAGATGAGGAGCAAGAGAAACTTAATCAATTAATGCATCGATTCTACTAAAAGACAACTAATGCTAATATTAATTATTTACATCCAACTATTATTATACCTTTTCAAGACATTCTTCTACTCTATTTTTATATAAGCCTTGTGTGTTAAAGTTCATTAATTTATTATTAATTATTATTATTATTTCTGTATTTCTATTAAAATAGTATTACATATATTTTATTGAAATATCTCAAAACAGATCAGAGATTTTATTGATAAATAAAAGTATATTTTAAATAAAGCACAGTCTTACCAAGCTAGCATCTCTATTCTATCTGTAGTACCAGTCATTCAGTCACTTTAAACTCATATCGCTTCTTATGCAGGCAGCAAAACTACTTTTTATTTTAGGCGCTCACATTGAAATTACTATTCATCAATAATTAAGTAACCATTGGTCAATTTAAAGTAATATTGTGACAGGTAAACATAAAACTTTACTTTTACATGCACTTTAAGGAAATGTAACCTGTAAATAAAATTCTAAGCTGCAATATATCAGAATTGTATTGCTCGAGGAATGATTACAAATAGGCAAGTGATTCTAAGATTTTATTGTGCTTACTAGTATAATTATGATAATATCTTTACTTACAAAAAACTGTATTGAGGTTAGTCAATGAGATGACCTATATACTTTTTTGAACTAAAGATGGGTTTCAGAAAATTCGACTGATCATTCGAAAACTCATAAGATTAATTGCAAAATTCATTCAGTTAAGTGGATAATGATTTAAGATATCTTACAAGCACATCTAAACTATCTCACACGATTGGTGTCGTTTACAATGTCGGAAGCTGCTGCAACAAAAGAATAACTGGATGAGAATTGAATTGTAGAATATATTGCAGTTGATCTGCTCTCTACAAACACTATTTTATGATCAATAATGAAATTTATGTTTATATCTGATACTTGTAAACACAGAATAGAGAGATGATGTGTTGTATATATCTGGACAACCGATTGGTGATACAATTAGAGCGCTTCAATTAGAGATTCATTTAGTGCTATTGGACATGCAGAAAGTTATAACAAGTTGGAGCTTATGATAAATAAGGCTTCATCAGTTATGATCTATCTTTCATCCGAGCACAAAATTTAAATTAGACTCATAATCAAGTTGGATCTTCGATTATGGAAAAATTTAATTTTTCCTTATTCTGAATATTCTATTATAGACATTATATCGATATATCTACAAAAAATTCCTTTTTAATGTACTTTTATCAAAACAGATTCTTTTTTTATAAATTTAATTATACCATATATTCCTAACAAGTCAGCTAATCTTAAGAATTCCAAAAATTTTTAAATTTACATCATTTATACTACAGTCATGAAGAGTAGATAATTTTCTTAACTATTTTAGAAAATTAAGAAACTAATTTAAGAATAAATTAAATTAATTTAATTAAATAGATGAGTAATCATTTTTCAAAGGAATATAATTTATTAAAAAAGATTTATTAAATTCCTCATTTAAGTGGCTTTTTAACAGATCATATTTAACAATGCAAACAATACAGGAGGTTTTGAGAAGGATAACAGATCTTCTTTTAGCTATATCAGATGATCTTAGTTTTTGCTTTTTTCCCTATTAGATTTTCTAATTTTGACATGCTTTTATGATCTCTTGAATAACTTTTCCTTATAAAAGAAACTTTTGATAAGTCTAATTTTAAGTTTCTGCCGATTTTTTTGAAATTGTTTCGAAAGGAACACTCTTGCTATGAGATCTTCAAAAGAAACAGATATTTCTTTAAGAGCAAATGATGAGGCTAAGTTTCTTGATATACTTAATCCTGTTAGCAACATTTTATTAAAAGAATACCTATAATTATTTTGTTTTTTTTTCAAATTTCATAACAATAGACTATTATGCTTCAAATAAATGAAATGACAAAATTATTTTGAGCTTTATCAAATTCAATACATTTTAGTGATTACCATAGGATTACAATTAATAAGGAATTGATGCTAATGGACCCTCTTTAATAGTCCTGATTATAAGATTGATATGTTGCTTAAATTGTATTTACAATTTTGAGTTTAATTTCTAGTCAGGTATGTCATAAACTAATACTAAAATTAAGTGTATTGTTCTGCAAATTATTTTGTGATATTTTATGGAGGTAAATTGGATTCACCAATAAGATAACTATATGCATTAAAAAATAAATTTTATGCTTTAGAAACAACCAAACTAATTGATTAGAATCAAATATTAATAAAAAAATACATAGGAATATTGTATATGGTTGAACTATAGCAGAATGAAACAAAACAAAATTTGAGATTAATTTTTATCTGTTTGTTAATTAATTGATATATGGATCATAATAACTAAAGATGATATAAAGTATTTAATTATTAAATAAATTGATATAATTTTTTATTTAAGGTTAACAGAAAGGAATAATTATTCAGGTAGATTAATTTTTTATAAATTTGATAGTTAGTTCTGAATACACATTTTTTCATTTCATTCTTTTTCCAATGCGGCCAAATAAAATCGTCGAGCTTCTGATGTCAAATTCCTAATTGTAATAATGTATAAGCTAAATATTAATAAACCATTTTATACCTATAAATTTTAATCTAACAGGATCTACCAAAAAATTCGGACAAAACAGAAACTCTAATGAGTTGCAAGAAATTTCATTAATAGAAAACAGATTTGAACCTATTTTAAATTTAGTATAAATATTCTGGAGGGATGATAAAAATTAAGAATTATTAATATTAATGAATTAACATTATATGGTACTCACACATTAGATTGTAGAGTGAGTAGAATAAAATGTTAATAAAATTATTCTTTAAAAATCATTTACAATGATTCCAGTTGTAAAATAAAATCATTATGCGCACCTATAGAAGAAGGATTTAGATATGATACAGCTTTTTTAATCTCGGATTATCAAATCAAGAGGGATTAATACAAGATTACCTTGACTTAGAATGATGCAAGTTGCCTATTAATTTTTAGAACCATAGTGAATAGAAGGTGTTGTATACAATAATTATTTCATTTTCTTTTTGTAGCATTTTGGTATAACTAATTACATTCAATAAATGTTTGGAAATCTTAATCAACTTATGTTTTACCTAAAGAGGACGACATGCTTCATCTTTGAATTATAAAGGTTGAGCCTGCTGATCTATCTGAGAATTCGCTTTAAAATAAGTGTATACTTCAAATATGTTTCTGTTGAAATCAGCACCAATACAACATCCATCTAAATCACCATGTTATACTCATCAATTTAGCTCTTGCTTATCATTTGCTTTTTCTTTAAAATTACCTGAAATCAATTCACTAGACAGGGTTAGAAGTAAATCTAGAGTGCGAGATATTTACTTTCTCGAAAATGGCTTTTAGGGTTGGATTAGAAAGTAATATATAAAATCATCCTTAAAGAGTAGAAATTATGAGTAAAATACTTAAAATATATCATTATAAAGAAAATCAGAATTGAGAAAGGAATAAAAGTTTGCTATTAAATTCCTCTTGACAACTAGATGTTTTGTTGTTAATAGAGGTCGTAGTTCTATACTTTATGATTGTAAAGGGACTGAAAATGGTTTATTAATATAAAAATTATCTCTGTAATAAAATAATTGATGTTTTTCTAAAGACTGTTTATAAATTTCTTGAATTTCCAAAATTTAATTGAATATTAAGAGATACAATTTAAAGTTGAAAGGCATTTATAATAACCTTAAAGTTTAGTGCTGTGCAATAAAAAATTTAATTGTTATTAACTATAATTAATGTTATAAAATTTATAACAGTTCATCTTAATCTTGATCTTTTAATCATCATCAACATAGAGCATTTTATAATTGGTAATATAGCCTAATACATTCTTTGGCTTCTCTTATAGAGATTCCAAAACTAGTGCTTTGAAATAAATCTGTAGATTATATTACACATTTGGTGCTGTGAATTGTAACATAAAATGAAAAGGAAGAAAAGTTTCATTAATATATAAATTCGAGTTATTGGTAAAAAACAATTGAATTTAGTAAACTTCCTATATTTTAAATGATCATACTTATAATTTAAATAAGTGGTGTATCTATTAATATTGGAAAGACTTATATTTTTGGATGGATGCAAGGAATATAGATATAGAGATTTATTTAGTAAAATGTTTGTTTTTTTATTTGGATATTTATCCAAATAACAGTCTTTTATAATTTAAATTCTATTTTCGTAGTTAGATGAAAAGAATTTTCAACTGTTTGCTCCATAATAGAGTAGTATGATTTGGCTCCAAATGATGTGAAATATCTATTTAGTTTATACTATTTGTTTTTTGCTCTCAAAAAATATGACCTTATTTACTTTTACTGAAAGATTTCTTTCATACTTATTTCATAATGTTATTCGATTTGAAAATTAAAAAGTATATAGAAAATTTAAAAAAAATTAAGCTGAGATTATTCCTTTCAAATTGTACCTTTCATTTAGATTAACAATCTAGCAGCCATTAATATCATAAATAAATAAAATATTTACTAATTGTCAAGATTCTCTTTCTAAATGGATTGAATTTAATCAAGATATTGTAATCTACTAAAAAAATAATAATTCAATTATGATTAAAAACCGTAAGATGTCTATTAATCCTTATGAATACCAAATCAACTATTGTAATTTTGAAATTCGCCAAATCATTAATTTATCAAAAGCTGCAATTGCCAAAAACAAGGAAAGGAACTTTTTTTCACCAAAAAGTTTAATTTTGATATCATATTTGGCAAAACATATTTAAACAATGTAAATTGTCTAAATTACAAACTAACTTAAGCTAAAAGATAATGAAATTATATTATAAATGTAGAAAATTTAAATAACTCACAACCATTTTGTTTTTTTTATTTACTAATCTTTCTAATTGATCTTTTAATTAAATATCTCATTCTAAAATAGATATAAAATGTTCAATGGTGCTTCCCTTAAATTTTGGAACATCTAAAATTTACAAATTATAGAAAAAGGAAAAGAGTAACGAAGTATATTTGTACCCTTATCACAGATATTCAGATTCGATAGGTATTATTTTGATATTTTAGGATTAAACAGCTTATTCAACTTGAGAATTTGAACTTTTGCACATACCCTAAAATTTTCAAATTTCCAAGACAATGAATGATATGATTATGAGGAATGTCTAGTAAGTTTGGAATTCTTTTTATAACAAGATTTTCAAAGCAATCTTTAGGTAAACTCTTTGATTATAGAATAGGAGGAATAATTGATAAAATCGAAGAATGGACTATATCATAATTATATAATTATATNAAAAGTTTGCTATTAAATTCCTCTTGACAACTAGATGTTTTGTTGTTAATAGAGGTCGTAGTTCTATACTTTATGATTGTAAAGGGACTGAAAATGGTTTATTAATATAAAAATTATCTCTGTAATAAAATAATTGATGTTTTTCTAAAGACTGTTTATAAATTTCTTGAATTTCCAAAATTTAATTGAATATTAAGAGATACAATTTAAAGTTGAAAGGCATTTATAATAACCTTAAAGTTTAGTGCTGTGCAATAAAAAATTTAATTGTTATTAACTATAATTAATGTTATAAAATTTATAACAGTTCATCTTAATCTTGATCTTTTAATCATCATCAACATAGAGCATTTTATAATTGGTAATATAGCCTAATACATTCTTTGGCTTCTCTTATAGAGATTCCAAAACTAGTGCTTTGAAATAAATCTGTAGATTATATTACACATTTGGTGCTGTGAATTGTAACATAAAATGAAAAGGAAGAAAAGTTTCATTAATATATAAATTCGAGTTATTGGTAAAAAACAATTGAATTTAGTAAACTTCCTATATTTTAAATGATCATACTTATAATTTAAATAAGTGGTGTATCTATTAATATTGGAAAGACTTATATTTTTGGATGGATGCAAGGAATATAGATATAGAGATTTATTTAGTAAAATGTTTGTTTTTTTATTTGGATATTTATCCAAATAACAGTCTTTTATAATTTAAATTCTATTTTCGTAGTTAGATGAAAAGAATTTTCAACTGTTTGCTCCATAATAGAGTAGTATGATTTGGCTCCAAATGATGTGAAATATCTATTTAGTTTATACTATTTGTTTTTTGCTCTCAAAAAATATGACCTTATTTACTTTTACTGAAAGATTTCTTTCATACTTATTTCATAATGTTATTCGATTTGAAAATTAAAAAGTATATAGAAAATTTAAAAAAAATTAAGCTGAGATTATTCCTTTCAAATTGTACCTTTCATTTAGATTAACAATCTAGCAGCCATTAATATCATAAATAAATAAAATATTTACTAATTGTCAAGATTCTCTTTCTAAATGGATTGAATTTAATCAAGATATTGTAATCTACTAAAAAAATAATAATTCAATTATGATTAAAAACCGTAAGATGTCTATTAATCCTTATGAATACCAAATCAACTATTGTAATTTTGAAATTCGCCAAATCATTAATTTATCAAAAGCTGCAATTGCCAAAAACAAGGAAAGGAACTTTTTTTCACCAAAAAGTTTAATTTTGATATCATATTTGGCAAAACATATTTAAACAATGTAAATTGTCTAAATTACAAACTAACTTAAGCTAAAAGATAATGAAATTATATTATAAATGTAGAAAATTTAAATAACTCACAACCATTTTGTTTTTTTTATTTACTAATCTTTCTAATTGATCTTTTAATTAAATATCTCATTCTAAAATAGATATAAAATGTTCAATGGTGCTTCCCTTAAATTTTGGAACATCTAAAATTTACAAATTATAGAAAAAGGAAAAGAGTAACGAAGTATATTTGTACCCTTATCACAGATATTCAGATTCGATAGGTATTATTTTGATATTTTAGGATTAAACAGCTTATTCAACTTGAGAATTTGAACTTTTGCACATACCCTAAAATTTTCAAATTTCCAAGACAATGAATGATATGATTATGAGGAATGTCTAGTAAGTTTGGAATTCTTTTTATAACAAGATTTTCAAAGCAATCTTTAGGTAAACTCTTTGATTATAGAATAGGAGGAATAATTGATAAAATCGAAGAATGGACTATATCATAATTATATAATTATATATAATGGTAAATATACAAATATATTTTAGCATAAAATGATAAGGCGCTTTATTAATCTTGCAAAGTAAGACATTTCTTAAGGTTAAATCTTTTTGTTGATATTAGAGTTCTCCTTTGCTTTTACTGTCACAATATATGAATCTAGTAGTATTTCAGCATATTTTTTCTTTATAAAGACTAAATGTGATTAAACCTACTAGTATTTGAAAAACACCAATTACAATCATTTAATAATTTTAACGTTATTAATTAATAATATTAAAAGGTAAGAACTTTTAACAATTTATTTTTTCGCCATTATTGTATTTTTTACAAATCTTTTATTTCTATAATCTTTGCAAAGTTTTTTACAATAGCGTTATAATAAGTCATAATTAGTGTGTCCACTTTTCCATCAAATGCTCTTTCCTCTAATTCTAATCTATTGTGCTGTAATAGGACCATATGAATAAGCTTCTCCTTTGCCTACTTACTTGATATGATATGCGTGAGATATATTTATGCTTGTACACCTCATCTCTTAATGTCACAATAAATGCTATACAGCTTGCTTCTTAATTTGCAAATTTTCAGTAATTAAAATCAAATTTATTTTGACAGTTGCCCTTCCTTCAATGCAAAAATAACTTATTTAATTGATGGTATTATTGTAAAATGCAATAATCTTAATTATAAGTGTGCTTGTTAGCCTAAAATCTCTGAAAATTCTATGAGTTTACTCTTTTTGTTTTTCTGACATATTATTAATATTTAATTTTAAGATTGCTTAAATGCAAAAACAAAAAGCCACTGAGTTTAAAGATTATGATGTTTTCTTTTTTGATTCTAATAAGAATTTTGAACATTTTCATGGTTTGTGTTAATTTGTTACAGACATAATTGATACAAAGTTTAATAATCTTTCATAATAACAATTTGATAGGGTTATTCGACTTTGTGCCATCACTTTGCATAAGATATAAACCAGGATTAATTCATCATTTCAGGCGTTTGTAGTGTTCGTACTAGACATTATTTTAATTGCTCTATTCTAGAATGTTTTATTCTCTTAAAAACTCAAACCTGGTTAACATATACAGCACAAATTCATCTCGTGATTCATGAGTTGTAAGTTCATGTACACCATTGTATTCCTCTACAAATAGCTTTGAAAATTTTTCTTTGACCTTTCGAAAGTGAAAAGCTATTAAGGATTCTAATTAAGGCTTGCATATAATAAGTATAATTCTTGTTTGAGCCACTACTAACAAATCTTGTGATAATAGCTTTGCTAGATCATGTTACTCATCAACTTGTGATTAACTCCTTGTAAAACGTATGATTATCTGAAAAGCTCTGTCAAACATTTTCCATCTTTTAACTTGACTTAACGATTAAGTTGCTCGCTATTTCAAAGATTATGCTACCTAATTCCAAATATGACCTGCTAACTGCAATGATCTTAAATTGCTACTAAAACTCAGTGTAGTACTAATAATGATTGCCATGTTTATTTTCTTGTAATATGTTTACCTCCATAATCTTCCACATATAGTAATATTGTTGCTTACTATATTTTAATATAAAATAATAATTCTTTAGTATTTACTACTGGTTTGCAAGTATAAATAAAAACAAAACATATTTGAGATTTCTTTAAACAGTTCTGATTATCCCATCTTTCCTTGATTCATCATTTTTTCAATATGTCTTTACATAAGATTATGAATAAATAATTTTAAGAGTGCATGTATTAGTAAGATAATATAATGAATAGAATAGATGAAATAGAATCTAAGTATTAACAAATAAAGTTTTTAATTGAAATATTAGTAAATATATGAAATATTAAAAAGACTGTTTAAATTCATAAATTCAATAGTGCAAATAGCAGAAATTAAAAAAATTAAGATTTTAATCTTCTTTAAGATCAATAAATTTCAAAATTAATAAATCAATGTTAAAAGATTAAGTAAAATATTACAATAATGATATTTGTAATTTTTATATATCTTGAATTTATGATTCAAATAATTGATTTGTAATTCCCTTAAGAAAACCGAAGGTATGCAAATTTTGTTATAGATTTAAGCAACAGAATAGAAAGCGTTAAGACTTTCAAAATACATTTAATGAATTAATTCATTATTTAGATAAATTCAATAAAATCAACCAAAACCCCCAAATTGAAATAATATTTTCAAACTATTCAGAAATAAAAAACAATAAAAGCGTAATTTGAGTATAATTTTATAAAATGAAAGAAGTTAACAAATAATTTAATACACAATCTTTATCAATTAAGTAAATTAATAAAAAATATCTTAACTTAGAATAGAATTTCTATCAATATACTCTAAGTGGTAGAACTAATGATTCAAATAGAACCATTTCATTAATATTATTATTAATATAATTCTCATATGAATGTACATCTTTCTATCAATAATATTCATTCTCCTAAAAATTTCCTAATTTATATTTCTTTAGATGAATCATCCCAAGTAATAAAATGCTCTCCATCCTAACTCAATTATCCAAACAAAACATAAGTCTTAAAGTGAATAGATTGCTCAACTGAAAATTCATTCGTTTCAGTCCTTCTAATAATATTGACATATTGATCGTGCTTATTGACTAGTATCTGTTTTTGTTTATTAAATTATTATGGAAATAATCTACAATCATCACATCCTTAATTTATTGTTATATCCTTTGTTTTTGTAAATTATTTACTCATAAGATTCATCTCAAAGACATGCATTAAATTGCCTATGTAAAAATATCATTATTAATAAAACATAATCGAAATCCATAAACATCAACTTTTATTTTTTATATAACAATCCACTTTTCACTTTATTTAGAATACTCAATTACTAATATTGAATTATCCTAATCACAAGAAATAAGTTTATTTTCTTAATCATTTAAACTGATTTGATATACTCTACCAGTATGATCAGTGATTGTTTATTAACAAACCCATTCACTTTTTAGATTCCAAAACTTAATAGTTTAATCATCACTACATGTTATAAAAAGATCTTCATGACTATTCAAAATTAAACACCGAAGATAATTAGAATGTGCTTTTATTGTTTATAAGGAATTCAATTAACTATTTTTATAGTTTGACCAAATTACTATTGATCCACCAACATCACCAGATATCAACTAATTTGATTTTTCTATGAAGTTTAAGGTGTATACATAACTCGTGTGTTCATTTAAGACTTCAGTTTATTTCACCATTCCTTATTTGAATTCATATATTTTAATTTATTCTTCGCAACCAACTGCCACCTTTGAGCAATTCTTATTAATTGTTATCGCAAAACAAATTTGTTACTCCTTAATTGAATTATCTTCAATTATTTAATAAGTAAATTTTTTTAAATTGGATGAAGTTTTTGGAGATTAAATTTGATTCACTTCTTAGAGATCATTTATTTGTGATGATATAAATGAATCTGAATAACGCGAATCTGATTAGAGTTTGAATTGAAGTTATTCTTAGATTTTTAAGCTAGTTTATGATTTTACTTCTTAAAGAATATTGTATTAAAACTTGGATTATCCAATTAAATGGAATTAATCAACTTTTATCTAAGCTAATTCCAACCTTGGATTGCTAAACTTATAAATTGGCGAATCGATAATGAATACTGAATCAATTAGATTATTGATTTTATCAAAAGATGACTAAATAATTACAATAATCTATTAATACATCTAAATCCTTCTCTAATCCTTTCATAATAAATTCTAATTAGCTATTTATTTTCTCTTTTTTTGACATTTTTTAATTCTATAAAACTATTAATATAATGAATTTTATAAATTGAGATTACTAAGGAAACAGCTAGATATCCAATAGAAATAGAAGGGAAGAAGTGAATTTAAAAAGAAGATATAATTTTGATGAAATATTGATGTATGTATTCAGTTGAAGAGAGTGATTACATAAAAGTTAATATATTAATTTGATTCCACAATGCATTTGAACAACTTAAGGTATAAAAATATACCCTTAAAGTTACACCATGATAACTTATGATTATACACATTTACAAAAATGTATTTGATCAGAAAGATATCAACCTATATGATACAAGCAAAAATATGNGATTCATCTCAAAGACATGCATTAAATTGCCTATGTAAAAATATCATTATTAATAAAACATAATCGAAATCCATAAACATCAACTTTTATTTTTTATATAACAATCCACTTTTCACTTTATTTAGAATACTCAATTACTAATATTGAATTATCCTAATCACAAGAAATAAGTTTATTTTCTTAATCATTTAAACTGATTTGATATACTCTACCAGTATGATCAGTGATTGTTTATTAACAAACCCATTCACTTTTTAGATTCCAAAACTTAATAGTTTAATCATCACTACATGTTATAAAAAGATCTTCATGACTATTCAAAATTAAACACCGAAGATAATTAGAATGTGCTTTTATTGTTTATAAGGAATTCAATTAACTATTTTTATAGTTTGACCAAATTACTATTGATCCACCAACATCACCAGATATCAACTAATTTGATTTTTCTATGAAGTTTAAGGTGTATACATAACTCGTGTGTTCATTTAAGACTTCAGTTTATTTCACCATTCCTTATTTGAATTCATATATTTTAATTTATTCTTCGCAACCAACTGCCACCTTTGAGCAATTCTTATTAATTGTTATCGCAAAACAAATTTGTTACTCCTTAATTGAATTATCTTCAATTATTTAATAAGTAAATTTTTTTAAATTGGATGAAGTTTTTGGAGATTAAATTTGATTCACTTCTTAGAGATCATTTATTTGTGATGATATAAATGAATCTGAATAACGCGAATCTGATTAGAGTTTGAATTGAAGTTATTCTTAGATTTTTAAGCTAGTTTATGATTTTACTTCTTAAAGAATATTGTATTAAAACTTGGATTATCCAATTAAATGGAATTAATCAACTTTTATCTAAGCTAATTCCAACCTTGGATTGCTAAACTTATAAATTGGCGAATCGATAATGAATACTGAATCAATTAGATTATTGATTTTATCAAAAGATGACTAAATAATTACAATAATCTATTAATACATCTAAATCCTTCTCTAATCCTTTCATAATAAATTCTAATTAGCTATTTATTTTCTCTTTTTTTGACATTTTTTAATTCTATAAAACTATTAATATAATGAATTTTATAAATTGAGATTACTAAGGAAACAGCTAGATATCCAATAGAAATAGAAGGGAAGAAGTGAATTTAAAAAGAAGATATAATTTTGATGAAATATTGATGTATGTATTCAGTTGAAGAGAGTGATTACATAAAAGTTAATATATTAATTTGATTCCACAATGCATTTGAACAACTTAAGGTATAAAAATATACCCTTAAAGTTACACCATGATAACTTATGATTATACACATTTACAAAAATGTATTTGATCAGAAAGATATCAACCTATATGATACAAGCAAAAATATGAAATTTAATAATCAGGTATTAAAAGCTTAAAACTTGATTCCTTCGCAATAAATTAATCCATTAGGACTAATTTAAGAAAAAATATTGTGTGAAATAAATTAAACAATTAGACTTTACTCTACTAAAATTAAATGAATAAAATTTAAGATTATTAATTTATTTTTACTTCTTAATTGTTTGAGACAAGATTCTTGGTAATAATTTGAAATTTTATCTTTTGATTTTAAGTTGCATTCTAAAAGAATAATTTCTCAAATATTTGAAATAAATTTAGAGCTTTTAGAAATTTTCAATTATTCAAATATGATTCCGAGAATCTAATTAACTGACCATAAACGAAATCTTTAAGACGATTTTTGAAAATCTATTATTTTACAGTTTATTCCAAATTAATTATCTTTATTTGAAAATTAATAGATATAAAATATACATTTTTCATCAATCAATTCTGGTGACATTGAGTCATTTCAATCACAAATCTAGGCTTTTTCTTTAAAAATGTAGGTTATATCAAATCCTAAAAAAGTTTAATAAAAACCTCATCAAAATCAATGTGCAATACATACTTTGCTTCTAAATACTAGTTACACTCAAACAATTCAAATTTGCTAAGATTATTTCATTATTGATGTAAAACTAAAGTCTATGTAGGTATTTTATAGAGCAGCAGCTTAATCGCATTTCGATTTTATTAAGATTCAATATGTTTAACAGCCAAGCATTAAATAATCTTAACAGAATCGAAAGAGTTGTGCTCAAGAAATATCTTATATTTCTCTCTATATGCATTTGAATTATGAAGACATAACGCTAGCAGTATTTTTTAAATCAGGAGTGCCATAATTTATTATATTACAATTGAAAACTCTAAGTGCATAATCATGTACAAAATTCAAGTAAAGCAAGACTTCGCGTGTACACCTTAGAATTTAATTGAGATTGTTGTTTGGAATACCAATCAACAAAATCTTTAAAGAAAGAAGCAATAGTATAAACTGCATCAAAAAGGTGAATTAATAATATTATGATAACCATAGTAACACTTCAAATATGTGTAAATATAGTAGATATACTACAAGATAAAATTACAAAAATGAACAATATGCTCCAGCATAGTCATAAGCACAAAATGTTCAAGTAAAACCATTTTTGATAAACTTTTAAGGTGCAGCCAAAAATCATTAAAGTTTCGCCTGTTGTTATGACATTGTTGCATTATTCAAGACAATTTGTAATGAGCCCAACTCAAGAGATATAAGGCCTTAAATTAGGACAATCAAGATAGCATTCAATTAAGTATTAATTCAAGTGTATATATATTGTTCAAGCATGCTAGCAGTACATTTTGTAAAATTAAAACACATCAGGAAACTAGTTTATAATTTTGTTGGCTAAAACATTTCTAGTATGCACAAAAAATTTATAAGTTGAACGCAAGTTATCAATAGGTTCAACAATTGTCCCATGCGTATTCAGGATACTTGAAATAATCACAAGTTGATAAAGCTTAAATTTTGTTAAATGTACCTCAATTCTTATCGTATATATTGATCGATCGCTACCAAATAAACAACCCCTTAAAACAAAATCATAGGTTTATTTCAGTCTCGCATGTAAGACGAAGGTTATATAGCCAGCGCATTTAGAATCCAAATGGAAAGAAATAACTCTAAAGCGTGACTATATAAAAGATGATTAGAGTTCAAATAACTGTAAGGATCAGCATGTAAATTATTGCATGTTAATGCAATCAGTTCCAAGAGCCATATATTTAGGATTGATAGAATCATTGTGGAATCAATATAAACTATTTATATTAGCAATCAGCATTGCCAAATGTTTTAAATATTTAAACAATATAACGTGATATATTAATTAGGAAGCATAAGAAATATGCTGTCTAGCCAAAGTAAGTGTGAGAAAGTGCATAAGATGGTTCTTTCATCATTAACAAAATACATAATATTCTAGTATATTACAAGACATGAATAGTTGTTGATATTGCTTAAATACTGTTTAAAAAGAAGAGGCCTTTATCGTGGGTATTGAGTAAGTACAACTGCTTATAGTTCATGTACAAGTTGTTCAAGTTAATCAATGCGATGAATATTATATCCTGAAATATACAAGAAGGAGCAGCAGCAGAGCAATCAATGCAAGGATATGTAAATTATAAGACAATCGATAAAAAATACATTACTTATAGGTAACTGGAAAATCATCAGTCGAAAGGTTCAAGTTTTTTGACGTGCCCGTTGGGTTAGCTTTACAGTTTTACATTTAGCGTAACACATCCATCCAAAAAACTCATGATAATCCAGATTGTACTATAAAATTCTTCTGCTTAAGTTTGACAGTTTTGAATTCTGCAAGTAACACTAAAAGATCTGGGTACTCTCAAATAGTAATGAAAACAGGTCTAAATTTAGGACAGAAATTATTATATTATCAGAGCTTTTAGCAGTATGTAGATAATTTATCCATAGAACTGTAGTTATCAGTTATTAGTAATCAATAAATATCTCTTCAGAAAAGTAGATTCCACTAAACTTGAGAATGCTTAAATATATGGCTAAAATTAGCACAGTAGATCTATCAAAAATCTTAGGAAATATGCTTTAAGTTGTTTTGCCATTAGAAAATCACTATAAATTGATATCAAATTGGCGAGACCTAACTGTGTATATGTAATTTAATTATCTTTATTATTTTTGAGATATTTTTTGATACAAATATTAATCAGACTGACATTTTTGCCTATAACCACTAATATAAACTGAACAATCATCAAAGGCAGAGAATTATGCCTATAAAAAAATCTGATTTTGAGTCACCACCACAATACCTTAAAAAAAAACTGTGTTATCATAACAATATATTTGATATAAAGGTATGACTATTAAGTTATTCAAATGGCATCAGATCATTTAGATAATAGTAGGAAGAAGAGATTTGCAAGTTGTAATTTAATTTTTAAAGGCAAGATCTGTAGTGCATGTGAAGAAGTATAACTGCTTACATTTTTAGTGTTAGGGGTCGAGATACTCGTTAAGTCAAATATTTAGGATGAAGTTAGAGAATAGGCATGCAGTAAGTAGTAAAGACAATAAAGATATTCTCTATAGTAGATTCATACATATACAATTGACATGACTATATATAAAAATGAACGATCTGTTAAAGTCCATTAATATTTATTTATTTATTTTAGATATGGTTTTAAATCAATTTCATTTTTATTTGCT